CCTGAGCCATCCAATCCTCCCCTTCTTCTTTTTGTTACCACAGTTCAGACAAACCTGCAGGATCCTTCTACCAACAAGCATTGCAGGGGGGGGGGGGGGAAGAATAGCCTTTGCACAACGTAACCTTTGCCGACACTCGGCCGCTAGCTGTCTCTTCTAGGGAAGCGTTGCTAGGGAAGGTGCTTCGCAACAAGAAAGCACTTTGTGAAGTTAAAGCACCCAGCCCTCCCACTTCTCAGGAAGATTGGCCTCGCTCATCTGCCGTTTACCAAACCCACATGATGCATGTGCAGCTCTGTCCTAACCGCACAACTTGCGGCGTGTTATTGCTTCCATACGCCAGGGCAGGGTTTATTTAGAAAGCAAATATTGTTGCTTCCATTAGACAGTGATGCAGCTGAATCCCTTGGCACCATAATTACCAAGCACTTCAAAGCGTGCGCTTCCATTATCACTCCTCGGAATCCAAGTCCTGGAGCTCAGGTAAACCACGGTGCACTAGGCGTAGGGTGACCAGATGTTCCGATTTTATAGGGACAGTCCCTATAGGTGGGGCTGTGTCTTATATAGGTGCCTATTATCCCCCCGTCCCCTGTCCCGGTTTTTCACACAGTTTGGACACCCTAACTAGGCGAGGGTCTGGGATGGCAGTGTTTAAAACTCAGTTCGCTTTCCAGCTCTCCCACTGGCAAGTCTCTAAGCCTCTATTTATTCCGTCTCCGTTAGACGTCACAGGGGTGGTTGGAGGGTTAGGTGGTCGATAATTGCAGAGTGCTTTGAGATCCTTCGATGAAAGGCTCTATATGAGTGCAAATAAGGAGTGCAATAGGCACCCAGAAGAAACCCCCCCCCCCCCCCCGATGTGCTGTGCTGTGCTGGCAGAGGCCTGAATCCAGGCATTTGGATGCTTTTGGGGGCTTTCTTGGGGAATGGGAATTTGGGGGAGGTGGAGGGGAGGATCAACACTCTTTAATCCCTTTCTTCTCCCAGGTCTTTGATGTTAATAATAGTTGGTAGGTGAGCTCATCTTAAGCCCAGATGGTTCCAATCACGTGCATTTTAGGCGGGGGCGTTTGATCACGCTGGACACCCCTCCTGCTGGTGGGACTGAATTTAGTTAGTTTCTTATTTTCTTCACCCACCCCACCCGCCCGGCAAAGAGACCGACCCGATCATTCTGTTTCCCTCCCGTGGCAGGGGCCGGCCTGGGCCGCGAAGGAGAAGTGTCTCACCAAGAAGTACACCGCCAGCGGGGAGTGCTGCAGAGCCTGCAACCTGGGAGAAGGGGTAGCGCAGCCCTGTGGGGTGAATCAGACAGTCTGTGAGCCATGCCTGGACAGTAAGTAGCTTGTCCTCGATTTCACCCTCACAGCGAGCTTTGGGGGTGGGTGGAAACCGCCTGCTGCCTACGGCACTGGGGATAAAGCTGGGGGGAAGGGAGATTCCAGTAGAGGGGTGAGATGGCTGGGTTGAAAAGCCCTTTGGATCATTGGGTGTGTATTGGCTTCTCATGACTACGATACAGGGTGCACCTAGAAAAAAATGGGTATCCCCTTTGCTCTGTCCTCCCTTTTGCTACAGTCCTCACTCAGGTATCGGCTTGCGCCAGATCTAGCCAATTGCTCTCACCTGCAATTTCTAACGTGCCCATTACTACAGTATCTGGTCTCCCTTTATATCATTTAAACCCATTGTGTCCTGCAGCAAGTGGGATATAACAAACAGAACATACACTCCACAAACACGGTAACTACAGTCACTGAAGCCTGTTAACTGAAATTGACCGGTGTGGCCTCGGAATCTGATCAGCCGGCTCCCAGTCTGCGTGGACCAACTAACTTGCACATCCAAAGGCAAAGGGGTTTATGGGATTTCTCCCCCCGAGCCCTCCTCTGAGATACCGGCCCTCTGCGTTTTCTTCTACTGTCCGTTTGTGTCATTCCCTGCTTCCTTGGGGTCTCTATTCCTCTCCACACCCACTCGGCCCCTTTCCCTGGGCTTGCACCAGCTGATGGGAGTTGCTTGGTTCTCTCAGACGTTTGGGAAATTCTCTCTCTTTTGCTTAGCTGTACGGGCTGCCCAATGCGATGTTTTCCAATGAGTCCCCCTGTGTCTTTTACAGTATAATAAGAAAGTGGAATTAGACTGACCGTTTAGCAAGGGATGAGAACAAGGTAGCCCCGGTAGGACAAGGAAACCGGCTGTTATATCACGGATGGATATCCCATCCCATCTCCTAGAACTGGAAGGGACCTTGAAAGGTCATCGAGTCCAGCCCCCTGCCTTCACTAGCAGGACCAAGTACTGATTTTGCCCCAGATTCCCAAGTGGCCCCCTCAAGGATTGAACTCACAACCCTGGGTTTAGCAGGCCAATGCTCAAACCACTAAGCTATCCCTCCCCCCGATGAAGGCATTTTGTCCCCGTCGGATGCTTCGTAGGCCCCGGTAGAGTACATGTGCTAGTGATCTGGGTGCACACGTAGTGATGAAATGATTGAGCGATTATTTCTGTAGTGCCATGGCCGTGCACGGTGCTTTGCAGAGAAAATAAAAACACCAGCCCCCCGCATCCTCCACCACCAGGGCAGCTTGCCCTCCAAATATTTACCATGGCAGGATAGTGCCGAAATGCTGCTGGTTCCAACTGTTTGCAGCGAAATCCGCCCAAGCCAGAACACTGTGGTGAAGGGCTGCGTGATGGTTAGTTTCACAATTATTATTTTGACCCAGAGCAAAACTGAAAATGCTGCGGGGGGAGAAGACATCCCTGAGGACAAGGCTTCCCCAGTGGAGGAGAGATCCTTGGGGAGGGTGTCTCCTGAAAAGAGTTTTTGGAAGAGAGGGGACCGGTGGAGGAAAGGGTGCTGACTGGGAGGGGGCTCTGGGCAGGTGATCTGACTCGTTAGAGGAAAACGCTCCATGGCCAGTCACAGCTCTGCGGCACACCAGCTAAAAATATCAACCTTCCTTCAAAATCAATGAATGCCACTTAACCTCGGAGTGAACGGCAGTAAGGACTCTGGATATTGAATACCAACCCCGCTGTCTGACCTTGGGGGAGACGCGTGTTAACACCGTGAAAAGCAGCTTCTACCAGGGAGCGCCCCCTGCCCTGAGCATAGGCTGGTAACTCTCTGCAGCATTCCCTTTAGGTCTCTCACTGGGTACCTCCCTGAGCAGGGATTCCACATTGATGCGCCTTTACAATCACACAGAGCACATGTGGTGTGAATCAGGTCCTGGGGAGACACGCCAGCTCTTCATTCCAGAAGGAAATGTGGATTTGGAAGAAGATAAAATAATTCCCACCCGGGTAATGGAGGGAGTGCGTATGCAGTAAATGTTGAGTGGATGTGAATGGGCGTGCACGTGTCCTTGGATCACACTTGTTTGATGGGTGTAGCATGACTCTGGCTCCGTGCATGCACAAGTGTGTGTTGTGCCCCCACCTTTCGTGGCTGGTTCCCTCAGGATAACAGCCTACTACTGCGGCTGGTTAGTGACGTTGCTCCGTTAGCTCAAGTCTGTGCTATGGAGCTACAGGTTAACCACTCCTGGGGGTGGCTTTGTGTGCAAGTGTTTGCAATCTGTCTCTTTGGACCGTGGCTGTGTTTGTGGCGTGCGTGCTGTTGGCTTTTCCATGCAGCAGCGGCTTTGTGCGTGCGGCGTGCTGGATGCCAGGCTCCCCGACTCTTTCACAGATGTCGGTATTAATCCTCATGGACACATGTTCGTTCTCCACTCTCGGCTTTCGAGTCGTTTCCAGGCTCACAATCCCAGAGTGGAGACATGACATTTTTCTACAAACCCCCCTCCCCTCCCCCGCCACATCCTTCCGGCTGGGATGCATTCTCCCCTGTGGGAGGGAGCCATTCCAGTTCTCATCATGTGAGTCCCTCAGGGAATGTGTGCTGGGGGGGGGGGGGTATTAAGAGAGCAGGATCAGAACTCGGATGCAGCACTAGAGCGACTGGGAGGTGGCTGCATCTGTCCATTAATCTGCACGTGGGTGGCTGTGTGTATAAATACATGTGGTTCTGTTTTCTGTGCCCAGCTGACCTTGACATGTCTTTGTCTTGCTTTAGTCCCAGGCTGGAGTGTGTATTTCCATCCTGCTGCTAGGAATCGGGAGTAAAGGTTGGGTTTGGTCTCTGCTTTGTCACACTGGGGAGCTGAGCTACGCAACCAATCACACATCAGCAGGGTCTTGAGATGCCCCCTTCCCCCTACCCCGGTGTCACAAAGTAATCCAGAGGCAGGAGTGGCTCGGGGTAGAGGGACTGTATGATCTAGATCAGGGGTTCTCAACCTTTTTCTTTCTGAGGCCCCCCAACATGCTATCA